TGAGTATACGCATGGTAGTTGGTAGACGGTAGAAGATAACAAAAAAACAAGTATAAACGGTTTTCTTTGTGTTGAAGATTTAGATTAAGTTTGATTAGAAATCAAAACAAAATCATGTTGCGTCAAAAAATTGAACGTTTATTTTTCAGTTTATTGTCTTATGGTTTCTACTAGTGAAAAAAATAGTATATTAACCACGGTTGCAAAGCCACTTCTAGACCTCGCACTTAGAGCCCTCGACGCTGCGCGTCTCGGGTTCTAATTTGCGCTCGGTCTAGAATGCTTGGCTCTGCAACCTTGGCTAATAATATACTATTTGAGTACCGTGTTGTTCAAAGAATACTTTGTATATTAAGACAAAAAGGCAAAATATAAACCCCACCCACCCACCCCATCTCATTTGTGATGATTTTTTTATTCTTAGAAACTTAAAACACGTTTAAAATGAAAATTTTTTATAAGTAAATATGGATTTTGGAATTAGGCTCCGCCCCTCGATCTGACAATGAATGAAAAATTTATCACAATTGAGAATTGAGATCGGGGCGGGTATGGGTGGGGCCTAATCTTTGGCTTTATTTTTTTCTTAATGTACATAGTATTCTTTGAACAACACTATACCCAAAAACATGTTTTTCAGTTCTCGTAGAGAAATAAGGATTTTGCAGTTAAGCTCCGCCCTCTTGGCTCACGACGAATAAAAAAAATCATTACATTTTAGATAGGGTGGGTGGGCGGGGCTACATTTTGCTTTTATTTTTAGTATGTGTAGACTTATTTCGACAGTAAGAAACTTAAAACATGCCTAAAATAGTAAATTTTTGTAGTAATTAACTTAAATCCTCCACTTTTTTTCTAAAGCAACGTCAGCGGGAACAGCAACTGCAACGGGAACTTCAACGTCAACAGCAAGTTTATAAATCCCACTATAGTCACTTGGTATTTATTTTTTAAAGAAAAATATGAACTTTTCTTGAGTTTATGTTGGCATAACGAAACTAATTATGTGACAGACATGTAAATGTTTTGGATACGTTTTGCAAATTAAAAATGTCAACAATCTGTCAATCTTAACAGCTGACAACCGGAAATTATAGAACATATCGATACCAGTTTCAATTAAAAATCCAGGATTGCCAACATGTGCAGTTTTTTCTGATCACGCGGTATAAGGAGGGCTATGACAAGGAGGTATTTTAAGTTTAGTAATATTCACAATATTATTAGATGACATTATAGGAAAATGTAAGAATAAAACGAAAAAATCCAAGTAGGTTGTAGAACCTTTTAGCCAACAATTGTAGTGGAAACATAGAAAAAGGTTAAAAACGTCAAAAGAATGTAACTTAAGTACAAATAAGAAAGGAAAACACTAAAAAAAAAATTTAGAAATATTAAACATGGACAAGAACTTGAATAAATCAACGACAAGATTTTTTTAATTAAAAACCGGGTATATTTAATTTTTAGTACTCATATATAGTATTTGATAAGATAAGACCGATTTTAGTAAATGACATACCCTCTAAAAAAATAGAGGGTGGGTGGGCGGGACTAGTATTTGATAAGATAAGACTAATTTTGGCAAATGACATATCCTCTAAGAAAATAGAGGTGGCCAGGGCTAGTACTTGATAAAATACGACTGATTTTGGCCAATGAAATATCCTCTAAGAAAATAGAGGGTGGGTGGGCGGGGCTAGTACTTGATAAAATAAGATTGATTTTGGCCAATGAAATATCCTCTAAGAAAATAGAGGGTGGGTGGGCGGGGTAGTATTTGATAAGATAAGACTAATTTTGGCAAATGGCATATCCTCTAAGAAAATAGAGGATGGGTGGGCGGGGCTAGTATTTGATAAGATAAGATAAATTAAGACTGATTTTGGCCAATGAAATATCCTCTAAGAAAATAGAGGGTGGGTGGGCGGGGCTAGTATTTGATAAGATAAGATAAATTTTGGCAAATGACATATCCTCTAAGAACATAGAGGGAGGGTGGGCAGGGCTAGTACTTGATAAAATAAGATTGATTTTGGCCAATGAAATATCCTCTAAGAAAATAGAGGGTGGGTGGGGGTGGGCTAACATTTGCTAAGATAAGACTAATTTTGGCGAATTACATATCCTCTAAGAAAATAGAGGGACGGTGGGCGGGGCTAGTACTTGATAAAATAAGACTGATTTTGACAAATGATATATCCTCTAAGAAAATAGAGGGTGGGTGGGCGGGGCTAGTATTTGATAAGATAAGACTGATTTTGGCCAATGAAATATCCTCTAAGAAAATAGAGGGTGGGTGGGCGGGGCTAGTATTTGATAAGATAAGATAAATTTTGGCAAATGACATATCCTCTGAGAAAATAGAGTGAGGGTGGGCGGGGCTAATACTTGTTAAAATAAGACTGATTTTGGCCAATGAAATATCCTCTAAGAAAATAGAGGGTAGGTGGGCGGGGCTAGTATTTGATAAGATAAGACTAATTTTGGCAAATGACATATCCTCTAAGAACACAGAGAGAGGATGGGCGGGGCTAATACTTGATAAAATAAGACTGATTTTGGCCAATGAAATATCCTCTAAGAAAATAGAGGGCGGGTGGGCGGGGTAGTATTTGATAGGATAAGACTAATTTTGGCAAATGACATATCTAAGAAAACAGAGGGAGGGTGGGCGGGGCTAGTACTTGATAAAATAAGACTGATTTTGGCCAATGAAAGCTCCTTCCAAGAAAATAGAGGGTGGGTGGGCGGGGCTACTATTTGATAAGTTAAGACTGATTTTAGCAAAGGGCATAACCCTCTTCCGCCGGCTTCTTGGCAACGTTATCGTCTTTCTTCACTTTCCTTTTTATTCATTACTCCTGCTGTCATCCATTCGGTGACCATTTCCAGTTTTTCACCGTCCAAAGTCGTCTCTCCCAAGTTTGTCTTATCTTATCAAATTCTAACCCCGCCCACCCACCCTCTATTTTCTTAGAGGGTATGTCATTTGCCAAAACCAGTCTTACCGTAGCAAATCCTAGCCCCGCCCACCCACCCTCTATTTTCTTAGTATGTCATTTGCCAAAATTAGTCTTACCTTAGCAAGTACTCCCCCATAATTCGTCGGACCGTTTCCACCAAAAATTTGGTCGTCTCGTTTTTCCACCAACTTTGGAAATTAGTTAATTAGAATTTCGCCACTACTTTTCCATAATCTCCAATTGAAACGTGGGAAATTTCAGAATTTGAAAAAAATTTGACGTTCAAACTGAATATTTCCAAAAATTTTAATAATTTAATTAATAAGTACACATATTTAATTCTTAAAATTTTGATGCGAGGTTGCCAGATTGTTCCAATTTTCAAGAAATTCTTTAACAAAGCTAAATATACCAAAAAGGTGTTTTAACATTTCTTTGCTAAAACTCTTCAGACACATATTTCGAGGACATATTCTGTAAATGCCATTGTTTTTAGTTTGAAGAAGATTTAGCGGTATAAGAATCGGTTAAAAAATACGTTGCAATAAAAAAAATAGGTTTGTTCTTGTAAGCGTCATATTTGCAATGCGCTAAATTAAGCTTCCCCTTTTTAAGCTGAAAACAAAGGTGTTTACAGAATTTTAATATCTCTGTTCGTCTATTCGTTCCCAAGATATTAGAGCACGGAATTTTAGCTGAAGCACTCTGTATTTTAGGTAAATAAACGTTCTTGTAGTGTCAATGAAGTGGAACCTCAATGTACATAGTATGTAGAAAAAAAAAATGGCTTAAGTTCTTTCAGACAGAACTTCCCTCGCCCCTAAAGTACAATCGAACGAATCCAGCTGCTACGAAAATTATAAAATTTGATTTTGAATAATTTTATTTTTATGATAACCTCTATAAGTTAAAAAATATAGATAGCATTAACCACAGTGTAAGAAAAAAAAAAAAAAGGTTATGACAACTGTTTATTCTTAATTTTTCAGACTTAAATAAGGCTGTCAATATTTTACGATTTAGGATGGAATATTTTCGGTCACTCTTTATTATAAGATGAAAAATTCGTATGTACTTAATTCAGATTTTTTGCAAAAATCTGCACGCTTAGGGTAAAAATCAAGGCGGATTCATAAACCGCAAGTACAGGAGTATGTTATTTTATAAAATTTAAATTAGATTTACTATGAAACAAGATTTAAGTTCATGTCATCACATTATTGGTCCGGTAGTTTCAGAGATTATGTGTCAAATATGATAACAATCGACACAGACAGGCGACATACAAACGGAAATTTTTTCGTATGTTAGGGATCGTAAAACTTTAGAAAAAACATGAAAGTAACCATTGATTCGATGAACTCTATTACCATACTTCCTTAGCTTAAAATTAAAAATTGGCAGTTTCTGCGATTTCTAGGATCTTAAGAATAAAAAAATGGGAAAAGTGTAATCAAAACCGACAAAATGAAAAATCAAAACGCAATAACAAATTAAATGTCTTCTGATTTTTTAAATTTAAGAAACGTTGCGTTTCTGTAGTAAAATTACTTGAATTGAATTGAAAAAATTCAAATTTCTAGTTTAACATTGTTACGTAAATTAATTTCAATTTTTTGCCCCGAAACAATGAGAACACCCAGATCCACGAGAAGGTGACTTTAGCTGTCACCACAGTGAAAATCTCTTTATCCAACTATAATTACACCAGTCGCACCAGTATTAGGTTTTGTTAGAAATTCTAGCCAGATCTATCACGTAATAAAAGAACTTCCGGTCTGTTGCAAAATGTCAGCCTTCCTGACATCAACATCCAGAAATACGACTCGTAATAACAGCAGAATTTCATCTCAACGCGAAAAACCCCAATTCCTCCAAGTCCCGGCACCTGCCACCCCGCGCCCATCTACGCCCCTGCTCTCACCCCAAAACCGCCCCTCCATCCGCGCTTATTCCCACCGTACGTGCGCCAGCAGGAAAAGCGCCTGCGCGCAAGTGTAGTCAATGAATGAATTTAGTCCGTTTCGAGTCCCCGGAATCTAACAACGTACAGCAGGACTGGCGAATTAATTGCAAACCGACCGATGTGAGCTTTGATCGGCGATTCAGTTATGCTTTTGCCAACCGCCGCCGAACCGCCGCGCCGAATTCAGCCGATTTCGCTGTCCCGGTTTTGCCGCTAATCCTCCGGGAAAATTCGCCGCTAATTCGGGAGCGCGCGACGCGCCGGACCACCGGACCCAGTGTGGATGTGTACCATGGTGTCACTGTGCGAACGCCGCCGCCGCCGATTTTTTTACTAGTTGGTTGTAGTCGTTGATAGTCGATAATAGAGGGTGTGTCTCCCTTGGAGAAATGCTGACCTAAATATTGCCGATAGCAAGGTAAGTTTGGCGTCTTAGAGATTTTCTGTCATTGGATGCGATGGGAGAAATTTGATGCGGGGTCGGTGGAAATTGCGAGACGCGAAATTCTGGAAAAAGTGTGCGTTTATTGGGGGGATTAAAGCATGAGTATCCGGCTTCCGGTTGTTGCGTCAATATTTGCCTTATTTAGTTCCGAGTGTTTTTAAAAGTTGTGTGTGGAAAATTCTCAACTTTTTTTAAACGCGATATTCCCTTAAGCTGTGTACTTGCTTATTACGTGTTCGTAGTTTATTTGTCTTTAGTGTAAGCTTTTTATCCAAGGTTTGAATTTTCCAAGATTTAAAGTTCTCCCTGGTGTCTATGTAATGTAATAACGATTTCCATTTTAAGTGTTTTGTGAAATATTGTTGTCTGTGGAGCTATACACAGTTCCATTAGTTGACTCATCGGCTAATGACACGCTTCAGGAATTGACATCTGCTAATTTTAAATCGGTGCTATAGAAATGAACTGCAGAATTTCAGAACAATTTAGTTGTTGTTGAAAATTATCAAAATTTCTTTGATAATATGTAGACGGATATATTATAGATATACAATACAACTGTCTTAAAAATTCAGGTCATAACTTTGGTACTAATTAAAACTCAAATGATGACCTGAGGCTTGTCAGGTCAGGTCAGGTCAGGTCAGATTCGATCGTGAGATCGCATTAATTTAAAAAACAATAATAAGAATGCGAGCGCAGCGAGCACGTTTAGGTGTAATTTAAAAAAATATTAATTGGTGTCCCTGAGAAGCTAAAATATTAAGAACAATCGTTGTTATCTGAAAATGTGACTTTAAAGATGGTTTATGACCACTAATATTTGTGGGACTAAAATGTCCTGAACGTGCTCGCTGCACTCGCATTTCGTTATTATGATAAAAAATAAATAACCTTGCTGACTGTTCGTCTGTAAATGTTTTTATGACACTGAATTAACTAAAAAAAAAAAAAACATTCAAAATGCGAGTGCAGCGAGCACATATAAGTGCTTGCCTTCGATTTTCCTAGGAAGTGAAATTATTATTAATGAGAGAATTTTTTACTGTCTACAAAAAAAGTGAAATTGTAATTACTAAAGTCAGAGAAATCAAAGCAACCCGAACGTGCTCGCTGCGCTCGCATTCTAAAATTTTGTTTTCTTTTTAAGTAATAAGTCTAGAGATTTATTATTACAACAAAATCTAGACAAAATTTGCTTAAATTCTTCCTTAATAACTCCTATGAGACTTAACTGTGAAAAGGATGCTTAGAAGGCGAGCGAAGCGAGCATATCCAGGTGTTATTAAAAATAATTCACTGCTGTCTAGATGTTCATCGTCTACAAAAAAGTCAATCTCAAAAACAATTCTGATTGCTAAAGTTGGATGCCCTAAACGAATGTGCTCGCTGCGCTCGCATTTTAGAGGTCGATTTGTTCAAGGTAATTTACCTTCAGAGGGAGATCTTCAGAGTTACTATGATAAAAAATATATAACTTTGTTGACCGTTTATCTGTAAATGTTTTTATATCACTAAATTAACTAAAAAAAAAAAAACATTCAGAATGCGAGTGCAGCGAACACATTTAGGTGCTATTCAAAATTACCCGTCGATTACCCGAGGAAGCGCAATTATTATTAATGAAAGAATTTTTACTGTCAAAAAAATTAATCTTGAAAATGTTTGTAAATATTACGGTCGGAGAAACCAACGCAACCTGAACGTGCTCGCTGCGCTCGCATTCTAATAGTTTGTTTTTTTTAAGTAATAACTCTAGAGATTTATTATTACAACAAAATCTAGACAAAATTTACAAAAATTCTTTTTTAATAACTTCTATGAGACTAAACTGTAACAAAGGACACTTAGAAGGCGAGCGAAGCGAGCATGTTCAGGTGTTATGAAAATATTTAATTCAACAACAACTTAAAAAACAATTATTGTGATTACTAAAGTTGGAAGACCTGAACGAACACGCTCGCTGCGCTCGCATTTTAGTGGTTAATTTTTTCAAAGTATTTTACCTTCACAGGAAGATCTCGAGAGTTATTATGATAAAAAATAAATAACCTTGCTGACTGTTCATCTGTAAATGATTTGACACTAAATTAACTAAAAAGAAACATTCAGAATGCGAGTGCAGCGAGCAGTTTTAAGTTCTGTTCAAAATTACCCGTAAATTTCTCTGAGAAGCGAAATTATTTATTAATGAGAGAATTTTTACTGTCTTCAAAAATAGTGAAATTTGAAAATGTTTGTAAATATTAAAGTTGGAGAAATCAAAGTAAGCTGAACGTGCTCGCTGCGCTCGCTTTCTAAACTTTTTTTTTTAAGTAATAAGTTTAGAGAGTTGTTATTACAACAAAATCAAGACACAATTTGCTGAGATTTTTCCTTAATAGCTTCCATGAGACTGAACTGTAAAAAAGGACGCTTAAAAGGCGAGCGAAGCGAGCATGTGCAAATATTATTAAAAATAAATCACTGCTGTCAAGTCATTCATCGTTTACAAAAAAGTCAATCTTAAAAACGAATGTTGTGATTACTAAAGTTGGAAGACCTGAACGAACGTGCTCGCTGCGCTCGCATTTCACAGGTTGATTTTTTCAAAATATTTTACCTTCACAGGGAGATCTCGAGAGTCATTAGAATAAAAACTAAATAAATTGCTGACTGTTCATCAGTCAATATTTTTATGACACTAAATTAGCTAAAAAAAATATTCTAAAATTCGAGTGCAGCGAGCACATTTAGGTGCTATTCAAAATTAACACCCGCCGATTTTCCTAGGAAGCGAAATTATTATTGAGAGAATTTTTGACTGTCTACACAAAAAGTGAATCTTGAAATGTTTGTAAATACTAAAGTCGGAGCTACCTGAACGTGCTCGCTGCGCTCGCATTCTAAACGTGTGTTTTTTTTTAATTAATAAGTTTAGAGAGTTATTATTACAACAAAATCTAGACGAAATTTGCGATTTGAGATTTTTCATTAATAACTTCTATGAGACTAAACTGCAAAAAAACGCTTAGAAGGCGAGCGAAGCGAGCGTGTGCAGTTATTAAAAATAATTCACTGATGTTAAGATCGTCTACAAAAAAGTCAATCTTAAAAACAACTGTGATTACTAAAGTCGGTAGACCTGAAAATGTGCTCGCTGTTTCATGACCCCTACAGTATGAGAAAAGTAGTCTCCCGTTTCCGTCTGTCTGTCTGTCTGTCTGTCTATCTGTCTATCTGTATCCTTTTTTATTAGACACGTAATCTCCGAAACTGTTGGACCGATTGTTGTCAAATTTTGCACGTATATTAGGAATATCATGTATATGGTTAAATGCTAGCCAAAATTTAACCAACCATCCCCACCAACGATTTGATGACGTCATCTCAATGAACCGTATGTTAAAATGAGATGAATTTCATACAAAAATACTTCTACACTTGTAGTATACGAATCCCCTTTAAGTTTTTTCGTTTAACGTTCAAATTTTCGCAAAAACAATTGCACGGTATAATAACGTTGTCTTTGTTTTTTTTTAATATATAGAGTTTTCTTTTAATAACAGGTAGTTAAACATGTTGTCCGTTTCTTGTTAGGAAAAGAAAACTTCGTATATTCAGAAAAATTTGACAAAATATAAGCCCCGCCCACCCACCCCTTCTCAATTGTGATGAATGCTTTATTCATCGTGAGCTGAAGGGCGGAGTTTAATTGCAAAATCTTCATTTCTCTACAAGAAATTATCATCATGAAATATGTATATTATTAAAACGATAGAATATTTTAGAATATTTTAGAGAAATATTGATGTTACAATTAAATTCCGCCCTTCGGTCTGATTAGGAATGAAAAATTCATCACAATTGAGATTGGGGCGGGTGGGTGGGGCTTAATTCTTGTTTTTTTTTTAATATATACTTTTTTTTTTCAACAACAGGATACTTAAATATGTTGTCAGTTTCTTGTTGGTAAAAGAGGGCCTCGTATATTAAGAAAAAATGGATACAATATAAGCCCCTCCCACCCACCCCTTCTCAATTGTGATGAATGCTTTATTCATCATGAGCTGAAGGGCCGAGTTTAATTGCAAAATCTTCATATCTTTCCAAGAAATTATCATATGAAATATGTATATTTTTAAAACGGTAGAATATTTTAGAATATTTTAGAGAAATATTGATGTTACAATTAAACTCCGCCCCTCGGTCTGATTAGGAATGAAAAATTCATCACAATTGAGATTGGGGCGGGTGGGTGGGGCTTAATTCTTGTTTTTTTTTTAATATATAGTTTTTTTTTTCAATAACAGGATAACTTTAATTTTGTCAGTGTCTTGCTGGGAAAAAAGGCTTCGTATATTAAGAAAAAATTGACAAAATATAAGCCCCGCCCACCCACCCTTTCTCAATTGTGATCAATGCTTTATTCATCATGAGCTGAAGAGCGGAGTTTAATTGCAAAATCTTCATTTCTCTACAAGAAATTATCATATGAAATATGTATATTTTTAAAAGGGTAAAATTTTTTAGAGAAATATTGATGTTACAATTAAACTTCTCCCTTCGGTTTGACTACGAATGAAAAACTCATCACAATTGAGATCGGGGCGGGTGGGTGGGGCTTAATTCTTGTTTTTTTTAATATATAGTTTTTTTTTTTTTCAACAACAGGATAGTTAAATATGTTGTCAGTTTCTTGTTGGTAAAAGAAGGCTTGGTATATTAAGAAAAAATGGTTAAAATATAAGCCCCGCCCGCCCACCCCTTCTCAATTGTGATGAATACTTTATTCATCATGAGCTGAAGGGCGGAGTTTAACTGCAAAATCTTCATTTCTCTACAAGAAATTATCACATGAAATATGTATATTTTTGAAAGGGTAGAATATTTTAAAATATTTTAGGGAAATATTGATGTTACAATTAAACTCCGCCCTTCATTCTGATTAGGAATGAAAAACTCATCACAATTGAGATCGGGGCGGCTGGGTG